ATAAAAAAAAACATGTTGCTATACCTTATCTTGAGGGGCTCCATACATTGGTAATGGTCTTCCTTTCCATTCTGGACCTTTGGTTCTAGATGTAACAGATGATGATGCTCGGTTATTGAGTTTGGATTTTCTACCCTCCAATGTTTGTCCATTAAACTTTGCATATGCTGATACTGGACGGACTGGTCTATGCCTTTCAATGGTTCTCTGTACTTGGGCTGAGCTTGGACGGAGTGATTGTTGCGCTATGTATTTTTGGCTTGCAGCACTGTTGGGCCGGGAGGAGGATGACGATCTTGGTGCCGGGGTTATGGGTATGTGAATTGACGAGTATTGTAACTGTAAAGTTGATGCAGGGGTGTTACCATGGTAACCAGATTGTCTCCCATGATAACCAGTTGTTGTTGTGTTTTTTTCACTATATACACTTCTAGGAGAATTACACCTGCTGAAACCACTGGAACCTGGTTGATAAAAAAGAGTGATAAATTTGATAAATTATTAATTAAATTTATTTTTGAAAAAAGAGTATATCAGTACATAGTATATCACAATATGGCAAAAACTTGGGTTATTCAGACATCTCTAATAAATAGCCTGTTGGACTGAATTAATGATATCACCAAAGAATCATAGATGATTGGGCGAAAAATGCATAATTATGGCAAGGGAAATCAATGCTTTCTTCTTTCCAGATTATATACTATGAGGTTATTATGAGGATACTGTGTATGCACGAAGACAGTACAACAAGAATTTTGACCGATACACAGTGCAGGTCGATGCGACCATGTACTGTCTAAGTGCATACTTTGCAGTATCCTCATAATAACCTTATTATTATTTTTACTTCCTAGGAATACATCATGGGAATGGCGAAATCCAAAACGTTTAGAACAGATTTAATGAAATCCTTTGTGTGGGGTTCAGTCAAACTTTGGTGGCAGCCATGTTTGTTTTTTCATTATCTGGGAACGCTTAATTGTTCCATATTTGGAATTCACGTTTCCTAATAGTAGGTTAAAAATACCCAGTGCAATACCGCAAAATTATTGCATGCTGTAACATATGGCATTACAATGATAGATGTACAATATTTGATGGGTAATCAGTATGTATATACTAAAATATATAAACCCATTAAAGTGCCTGTGCAATGCCCACCCTCACGTTTCCCATTTTAGATCTGTGTCCCACTGAAATGGGCAGTTATTGATTTTTTTGCTGAAAATGATTACTCGTATCCAAGTAAATTTGAGATATTTCTCGTGTTGTAGCCACGCCCACCTATCCTGAAACGGTCGACTGTTTACGGATTTCCGAC